CCCTCCCCTCCCTCCTCCCGAGGGCCTCTGTCCCGGGGCCGTGGCCGGCCCAGCCTCCTCCAGCAGTACAGTGCACACCGTTACGGACCGAGCAGGCCAGTCGCGTAGAGGAGTAGAGCAGGTCGCGGTGCCCCCCGGCCGCCCCCCGGCACACCTCACCATGGCGACGACGCACCGGCACGCCTCGGTGGCCGCCCTGGAGGCGCTGGCGGCGTTCGCCCGGAGTGCGCAGCCCGCGCGCCTCATCGCCGTCCTCCCGCGGCCCGTCGTCGAGGTGCTGTCCGCGGCCGCGGACGTCGTGCTCGTCGCGTTACTCGCCGTGTACTACGTGCTCGAGGCGGCAGTGTTCGAGCTGCTGCCGCGCCGCTTCACCTCCAAGAGCGTCGACGGCCAGGTGGTCCTGGTGACTGGCGCGGCCGGCGGCCTGGGCAGGCACTTGGCCGCGCGCTTCGCTCGCCTCGGCGCCACCGTGGTCGTGTGGGACATCAACCAAGAGGGTGAGCAGACCGCGAGCTCCGGCACCCCCCCCCCCTCCTCTTCCCCATCGTCCTGCACCTCACGCACTACTTGTTCTTCTGCAGGCGTGACGGAGACGGTGCGCCGGGTTGTGTCCGCGGGCGGACTCGCCTTCGGCTACAGCGTCGACCTGGCGGACAAGCAGGCCGTCTACCGCACCGCAGCGCTGGTCAAGAGGGAGGTGGGCGCGGTGAGTGTGCCCTGGGGATGGTGCTTCTTGGTCTTGGTGCGAATGAGACAGGCTGATGCACTCGCCTCGTAGACCCCTAGTTTGTGGTTTTCCTTCTCGTCGACTGACGGGGTGCTTATCTTCCGCAGGTGGACATCCTGGTGAACAACGCCGGGGTGGCGTTCGGAAGGACGCTCATGCAGCTCACGGACCAGCAGATCGAGACCACGTACAACGTCAACATCCTGTCGCACTACTGGGTGAGCACGGGCAGGATGCATTCATCTGGCAACCACGGTAGTCGATCCGGTGATCCACAAAAATCTCGCCTCGACTACGACGTTATATGGGAATGGGTATACTAGCCCACATGCAGTCGAGCGGCTGGGTTTGCCTATAGAGTTCTACCACAGCGCCTGAGGGCCCCGTGCGAACAGGCAACCCTGCCGCACTCGTATGCGAGTCCGTGCTAGTATACCCATTCGCTTCAATGGGGCAAAACGGCCACCCTGTACACTGTCATAGCCGTTACAGGCACCTAGAGGAACTTTAAGGGACTTAAAGCACTGAAAGTACGTTGAGGCACTCAAAGTTCTTAAGGTACCTTAAAAAAGGCTCGTAGTTTTTCGGTAAAATAAAATGTTTGGAAAATTTCCCGGGAAAAAAATCCGTCCGGGCGAAGACTAACCTTACAGTACTTAAGATACCCTAACGTATGTTGGAAAGCATCGGGTCGAGGCCCGTAATAGGCGTATAATGACACGTAATGCACCGTCACAGTCGGGTGACGGCCCGGGTGACGGTAACCTTGTAAGTTCGGAGAACATCGCCTACCGGGGTCGACGCCATCCTCGTGATGACGTTATAATGACACACGTATGCACCGTTGCACCCCGTCCCCGTGCCGGGGGAGGGCCCCATTGCCTCACGCAGGGCCCCACCGCTGCCACCGGCACGCTACACGAATACCGCCCCGCCCCGCCCCGCCCCGCCGCGCCATTCTGCTCAGCCTTTTCTCTCTCTAGCTTTGCCTTACACGAGCTGCTAGGCCCCGCCATGCTTTCTACGACTCGGCGCGGGCGAGCGAGGGGCCGCATGGCAAAGAAAAACAGTGTGCGGCGTCCGACCACAACAGAACGGCCAGGTGCGAAGGCTTATGCGCACGGGCGGGGCGTGGCGTGGCGGGGCGCGGCGGGGCGTGCCCGGGGCGGGGCGTGCCCGGGGTGTTACCCGGGTGATACTCGGAGGGCAAACTGGGCAAACTCAATTGTGTCCACAAAATAACATGCCGCGATCTGTGCTTGTGCTTCCAGACCACCAAGGCCTTCCTGCCCGAGATGATGCGCTCCAACCGCGGTCACGTGGTCACCGTCTCCAGCGTCACGGGGCTCATGGGCTGCTACCGCTGCACCGACTACTCGGCCTCCAAGTTCGCCACCGTCGGCTTCCACGAGAGCCTCTTCACGGAGCTCAAGGTGCGTGTTGTGCCCCCCCCCCCTTTCCACCCAGGGGTCCTCCGGGCCTAGGTGGCGCCTGCCCCCTCCCTCCCGCCCCTCGTCATTTGCATAACGTGTCAAAGACTCTGCGTGACATTTTGAACTGAGTGCGTAAGCGTAAGGCTAGGGCCACTTTGCACATGTAACATTGCGAGGACGCTCGACGACGATGGGACCTGACCTATGATGTCATGGTGACATGACATCACTGACCTCACGGTTACTTCAAATAGCGTCCCCTCGTTCGAGCGACAAGCCGACGAAGTCGGGTTTAGTCTCATGAAGACGAGGAAGTGTCGACTGTCTTAATGCAAATATGCCGAATTTACGATTTCAAGTATCAAAACAGTTTGACTACTTCTACTGCTATTACGTCTTCATCCTCGGTATTCAAGGGACCACATCCACCTTCACTCCCTCCCGGTCCCGGTGTCATCTCTGCCTTCGAGCTTCGCACACGCTGCAGACTCTGAGAGTGTCCTTATGTGCCACAGGTGCTGGGCTACGACGGCGTGCACACCACCCTGGTCTGCCCGTACTTCATCGACACTGGGATGTTCGCCGGAGTGAAACCGAGGTAAGCAATAAGCCATAAGGAGAGGCAAGCAGGCAACCACCGCTCAAAGGGAAACACTTACCACGGCGCCATACGTCCCCGTGCGAGTATGCAACCCGGTCCGCATGCCTGAATGTGGTATGGTATAAGCAAAACAAAGGAAGGGGCCTGTGGACCACCCTGTATGTTTCCCTTTTAATGTAAAGAGTACCTACTGTATAAGAAGGGGAAACGCACTATTGTAAAGAGAAACCAGTGATACAGGTTCGTGGTGGGCTGGCCCGGCCAACGTCGTAGGCCGGGCATCTGTCTCCGGGCCGGACAGAACTCAGAGAGAGAGACAGAGAGTGAGATAGAGAGAGAGAGAGAGGGGAGGGGGCAGATAGTGTTAGTGGTGAGTCGGCTAACCCGTAATCCGAAGCCTAGTCTCTGCTTCACCACCACCGGCCCGCCGCGCGCCCGCCACGCAGGCAACTCTTTCGACACGCCGCGCCGGCCTCCCGCGCCCGCCCGGTAGGTAGGCAGCCCACTAGGCCTCTCGACCTAGGTCAAAAAAGGCAAACTCATCCGGCCTGCCGCAAAGGGACCTTTGCTGTGAAACTTTTCTTGTTGTTTCTTTAATTGATTTTAATTGTCCTAGCGGAAATAGTGTTTCTGCGAGTGTTTTCAGCAGCCTCCGAAGATGTAGTAAGCCCGTGACCTTTGACCCCCCTCAGGCTGCTGCCCATGCTGGAGCCGGGCCAGGCCGCCGATGACATCGTGGACGCCGTGCTAACCAACCAGGTCACCGTCACCCTGCCCGGCAGCGTGCGCTACCTGCTGCCGCTCAAGAGGCAAGTACCACACGGTCATGCTGGTGCAAAATGCACGGAATAACAGTAGAATTAGGTAAATTAGCTTCATATATTCGCTTCATATGGCCTTAGATCAGAATATTAGGTCGCGTAGCGCATTATTAGAGAATGGCAAAATATTCCGGACGATCCCGGACAGTTGTCTAGAAAATAAAGCTTCTAGCTATGGAAGCAAATACGTTAGCTTCCTTAGCTAGCCAATGTTGTCATTTAAGGTCATATTAGCGAATGCATTAGCTATTTTATCAAACTCGTTTTTCCTGTTCGTACGAATGTCGTTCACACACCTTTACAAGTATGCGACATTTACACAATTTGTGTTTCCATTGTGTGACGGCGCACTGTGCTGCTGGGTAGGGTCGGAAGCCAGCCAGATAGTTTCCGAAAAATTTCTGGCAAATTTCTGGAAAAAACGAAAACTTTCCGGAAAAAACTGGCAAATTTGCTAGACTTTGGAAATTTCTCGATATTTTCCCGAAACTTTGGGGAATTTTTCGAAAATTCAGTCAGGGATCCTAACTTCGGACTAGCGCCCTAATGTCGGACACTTCGCTGTTTTATACTAATAAAGCCCCTAAATCGAAAACGGGTATCCGGAATATAGCTTCCGAGGGTTCGCTGGAAAGGTTAGACCTTCTAGAATCTAGATTTGAAGAAATATATCCGATATCTAGCATACTGTTCTCCCAAAAAAATGCCAAACTTGCACTACGAAAACGGACAATTTTTATACTGCTTTGCCAAAATGTGGGGCTCTCAACGGCGGGTGATCGCACTTTTTGCAGGTTAACATATGTGAAACCAGGACTCTTCACCTACAAGATGACACAAGAAAAAAAATTCCATGTCAATTGTGTCAAGTTTGAGAAGCGATTTCCGAACGTCCCCTAAATACGGACATAGGCTTTTACATGCAAAAGTGACTGTTGGCCGGATTAGAAGCACTTTAAAAGCGATCTTTAAGCAGTTCTGGCAGCTAAACTACACGAGATAAGAAAATTTCGACGGTAGGGTGAGGTCAAATTTTTTTATGAAGTTTTTTTTCCACCCAACAATTTTTCAATTTTCATGATTTTTAAAAGAATGTCCGTATTTAGGGCTTTTTGGCTCCTGAACGCGGACACTGTTCTAGAGGGCCTCACAGGTACACCGTAGATGATAAAAAATCGTTCAAGGTGGTGGTAGGTGTGTCTTGGTCCGAAGATTTTATAATCCTCACCGATTATCAATATCATCAAAAGTACGGATTTCACAGGACTTTTTCGCCAAAAATCGTCCGGATTTAGGATCCATGACTGTTTTCTGGAAAATATTAGAAATTGTCAACCGTATTCGCATCAAACTGACCGCGTCGTTCTTCTCGCCTTGCAGCCTCTTCCCCAGCAAGCTGAGCTGGGCCCTCATGTACCGGCTGATGCAGGGGCCGCAGGCCATGATGGGGATGAAGCCCAAGGGCTGAGGATGAGGGAGCACACTCGCTGGTAAGTCAGAAAAAAAGAGAGAGAGAGAGAGAGAGAGAGAGAGAGAGAGAGAGAGAGAGAGAGAGAGGGGGGGGGGGGGTTATCATGTAAACAATTGCTGAGGGAAAAACTTACACTCTTTGGGCCGTAAAAAGGTAGCCCTCGCATCTACGACAGTGCGAAAGGTGTGTCCATTTTTTTTCTTAGATGCATTCCACCAATTATACAGGATCTCGGCGCCTGCGAGTCTCGGGGTAGGCCACCCTGCAGTGCACGAATGCGCAGCACAAGTGATGTTGCCTACCCATCAGGCGCCATGAGAACTGGAAGTCTGCTTCCTGGATGATCTGTAAAGGAGGAGGGCGTCAAAATTGATCAACCCGCATTTCAGTTTATGCCGTTCATCTGACCGAAAGATGAACCGCTTTGTGGCTCTGTCGGCCACAGCAGATTCGCGGCGATATCCTCATCGCCTCGGCCCAGGGTGCGCCCCGCCTGTGCTGCCAACTGGGGTAAACGCTTTGTAGCCAGAGGCGCCAGAGGCCACCCCCTCCCTTTCGGTTCGGCCCTCGGCCAGCGTGGCAACGGCTCAGACCTTTTAGACGAGGATGCTGCTGTTTCGTACAGTAAACGGTTCGCAACAAAAGTCTCTCGGATGTTATTTTCCTTTCCACAGCCCCACGTCATGTGGGACATCTGTTTTTAGACGAATCCCGTAAAAGGATCGACAGCTGCATTTTTTGACATTTTTAAAAATCATATGCGTCACAGCGCGGATGACGAACATCCACACTAATTGAAGAATGTTAATGTTTGAGTAGTGTTATGACTGTGCTGATCTAAATTTGTGTGGAAAGTGGCGGGTTTGAATGCCGCATTTTCTTCCTCTAGCTTATGCACTTCCTGTTGCAGAGCGACGCCGTCCTTCCCGGCCCAGCCCGCCCACCGAGCGGAACACCCCCCCAGGCGCCGAGCCCCGCTCATCGCAACACCTCCGCCAAGGTGGCCCCCCGCCCCGCCCCGCCCCGCCCCGCCCGGCGGAGCCCGGTCGGTCACTGACTGCCCGCTGCTCATCGCAGAGGTGACGAGCGGCGGTCCCGGTGACAGCCTGCGCGGCCAGGAAGCCGACGACGACGCCGACGCCACCCGCTCGCCGATCGCCAAAGAGGACGACGCCAGCGGTGCACCAGCACCGGGGAAGAGAGGGGCTCATCGTGGACGAAATAGGCTGACAAGTTTGGAAGAGGGGCTTACAGACAGGCTTATAGCCGCAGCAAAAGCACGGGCGAGCGGCGCCTGTGCTCCCTACCGGCCGCCCTGCCTGCCGACTGCACCGGAGGGGAGGGCAGCCGTCGCTGTGCTATTCCTGCGCCAAGACGC